GTCCACGACAGGCGACTCCTGGCGCGCTTCACCACGCGCCTGGTGTAGTTCGGCGTTCTCCTTTTGGAGACGCTCCATTTCTGCAGCCATAGTCTGCATGGTGGCCTGCATCGTCCGGAACTGTTGCATGAACTCGTTGAACTCCGCCTGTTCCATGTGTCGCAGGCTTCGTCTAACGGGCAGGGGGTGGCTCGCGATTTTTCTGACCTGGTGAAGGCGTTAATGCTATCGTAGTCGGAGTGGAATAATCAGATCTATTCCACGGGCCGACCGCTTAACAGCCCACCAAGTCTATCGCTCCCCTTCTACAAACTACCCCGGAAACGCGAGGGTAACCTAGGACTTTAGGCTCTGATACCAAGTGTTATGAGTTGTGAATGAAAGAGTGCGCAGAATTCAATAACGCGGAAGTGATTACAACGTCTGAATGAATAGCGAGGCCTAGGCATAATATAGCAAGGCTAGCTAGGCCGAGGTCGCGGGGTCGCGAGATGGTTGGGTGCAGGTTCGGGGTTGGAAAACCCGAAGGCGACGCGGTAGTGGCTCGGAAGGCGAGGTCGGCGGGCCGAGCCTGGTTTTCCGAAAGTCGGGGTTGTACGCGTACGGAGTGACCCAGTAAGGAATCCGAAAAATTCCTCGAGTCAAAAATTCCTTACAGCCATCGATTCGCCGACCGGGTTGCCCTGTGAGTGGCGAAATTCGCATTCGAGCTTGTATGAAATTGTGTAAAGCGGGTAGCCTCTCCGCGCCAAAGTGATCCCGGCGAATGGAACACAGCGCTCAATAGTTTTTTCCGATCGTTACAACGCTGGGTGTGCATCGTTTCACCGATCAATTCCCCAAAGCGATCGTGAATATCGATATTTTCTCACGACCCTCCGAATATGTCACTTTCACCGCGTCCTCAGGGGAACCTGACATTCGTTATGGTAACACCCCATAACAGAATTCCCGGATTTCAATAGATTCAATTGCCTCGCTTCAGAAGTTGCGCACTGTGATTCGAATCAATCAGGTTCCTCCAGTACAGACCCGGAGGTTGCATGTCTTATCCATAGCGTGCTTGCCTGTATCGAGGTTGCTCAACCTTGTTTCGCCGCCACCCTTCCCTCCGTATCTTCCGCCGTTTGCGCTCCTCCTTTCCCGCCATTTGCGCAATTTCTTTTTCCCGCCATGGCCAGGAGCCGGGCGTTCAGCAATGTCGCGAGGCGGCTCGCGCTTGGCTTCACATATCCCCAGAGACTCTCCGCACCGCCTTCGCTCCCACAGTTAGCGTCTCGCGCCGGATCAGCAACATTGGTAACTCCTCACCTCTATTTCGGCAACGACTCGCACACCGCTAGGTTGCACACCCACTCTTCGCCGGCCCTCCCTATCGTGTCTCTGAAACCCGCAACCTCCGCCTCGTTACTGTCACAAAATCCACCAACTCGCGTCCAACCACCGTTACTATCACATCCTCCCCTATCACGCGGATTTGCCGGGATATTAGTCGAGCTGGGTCTCGTCCCTCCCCCGCCTGACCACGGCGAAGAGGAGGCGCGGAAGAAGGAGGTAATTAAAGCCGTCCTTAGGCCCGGATCGGGCAAGATCCAAGCTAAGAAGGAGCGGCGATTAGGGAGAATACCGAGCATAGTCTTCGAACAGGAGGATGGGCACCTGGGCGGCCGGAAACGACTGGTATCCGTCGATCGCAAGCAGATCGGACGGCTGGTGAAGAAGTTCGGGCGGCCGTTCTTCGTGTCGCAGGTGTTCGACCTCGAGATCGCCGCGGATGGTGCGGAAGCGGCGGAGGGGGAGGCGGCGGGAGCGGAAGGGGAGGCGGAAGGATCAACGGTAGAGGGCGCCCGTATGAAAGTGATTCCGAAGCTGGTCAGTGCACGTACCTATCCGAATCCCGCTGGTTAGTGCACGTACCTATCCGAATCCCGCTGGTTAGTGCACGTACCTATCCGAATTCCGCGTTGACTTTTGAGTCGACTCAAAAGTCAACTTACTGCATGTACCTATCCGTGTCCCGCTGGTTTTTGGAATCATCATAAGTGCCTGCATTGTTCCGTCCATAAATCTTATCCGTTTCACCATAAGTCCATAAGTCACAACTCACATTCTCCATCACCTAAGTCCCTCCCTAGCCGTGAGTCTTCTGCACTCTCCGCCCTCTTCTTCCCCACCCACCCGCACCCCCAACCTCTCTCCTTTCACCTCTCCTTTCCCCTCTCCCCTCTCCGCACCCCCATCCCCTCCCCCCTCTGTGCTGCTCTTTCCTGCATGGCTTTTAGCAGCGTGGCTCTTAGTCACTGACCCCATCCTCCCCCCATCCTCCCCCATCCTCCCCCCATCCTCCCCCCATCCTCCCCCCATCCTCCCCCCATCCTCCCCCCATCCCCCATCCTCCCCCCATCCTCCCCCCATCCTCCCCCCATCCTCCCCCCATCCTCCCCCCATCCTCCCCCCATCCTCCCCCTCATCCTCCCCCCATCCTCCCGTCCCAGGTGCACTGGCATGGAGGCACGGACGAGATTCTCAACGTGACTCCCCTTCCCCCCATCCCACCCCACGTTTCCCCCAATGCCCTCCTTTCCTCATTCCCGTTTCTCCTCATCCTGCCCAAAACCTTCGTCCCAGGTGCACTGGCATGGAGCAACAGACGCGATTCTCAACGTGACTTTTCACCAACTATCTTCCCCCCTGTTTGCCCTATCCTGCCCCAATGCTTCCGCCTGTTCCCCTGTCCCCCCAGGTGCACTGGCATGGAGCTACAGACGAGATTCTCAACGTGACGTTTCTCAAGCTGCCCGAACGTGAAAGCGCGCGAGTTAAAGTGCCCGTGCCGTTGGTGTTTGTGGGCGAGGACGCCTGCCCGGGCATCAGAAAAGGTCAGTGGGGCGGGGCATGGCAATCATAGGGAAGGGCAGGGCAGGGCAGGGCATGACATGGCAATAGCAAGGCAGGACAACACGGCGCGGCATGGCTTGGTATTTGAGTCGTTTCAGAAGTGTTTGTGGGCGAGGACGCCTGCCCAGGCATCAGAAAAGGTCAGTGGGGCGGGGCATGGCAATAGGAGGACAAGACGACATGACATGGCGTGGCATGGCTTGGTATTTGAGTCGACTCAGAAGTGTTTGTGGGCGAGGACGCCTGCCCAGGCATAAGGAAAGGTCAGTTGGGCATGGCATGGCAATAATAGGGAAGGGCAGAGCAGGGCATGATTTGCTATGGCATGGTTTAGAAGTATGGTTTCGCATGGCATGATTTGCTATGGCATGGTTTAGCAGTATGGTTTCGCATGGCATGATTTGCTATGGCATGGTTTAGTAGGGTTTGGTATCGTATGGGATGCATTCCTCCTCTTTCAAACCTGTTCTCCCTCATCCCCCCTTCTGCCCCTCTGCCAGGCGGTTGGCTCTACATCATGCATCACACTCTCCCCTTCTCCTTTCTTTCCCCCTATTTATTCTTACACTATGTGTCACACAGTCCCTTTCTCCTACGCCCTGTTTTTTTAACGTCTCCCTCCCTCCATTCTGCCCCTGCCATGCGGTTGACTCTACACCATATGTCGCATCCTCCCTTTCTCCTGTTTTTTCATCGTTCCTTTCTTTCTCCTTGTTTCCTTCAGTATACGTTCTCCCTCTTCCCCCCTTCTCCCGCCCCTGTCCTCATCTCCTCTGCCAGGTGGTTGGCTCTACACCATGCACCTCTCTTGCCCTTCTGCCATTTCCTTTCATTCATCTTTCTTCTCCCTTGTTGCTGTGTTCTCCCCTCTCTCCCCCGTCTCCCCTGCCAGGTGGTTGGCTCTACACCATGCGTCGCACCCTCCCCTTCTCCTACCTTTTCTCCTTTTCCTTCCTTTCTCTGTCTTCATTTGCCTTCATTCTGAGTTCTCTCTCATCGTTCCCTCCCCTTCTGCCCCTGCCAGGTGGTTGGCTCTACACCATGCGTCGCACGCTCCCCTTCTCCTGCCCGCCCTCCGCCATCCCCCCGTTCGTGGAGGTAGTTCTGTCAGCATTGGATGTGGCTGGTCGATCTCTCACCGGTCTCCCGCATTCCCCCCTTCTATCACACCCTTTTCCCCCCGTCTCCCCTCCCAGGTGGTTGGCTCTACACCATGCGTCGCACACTCCCCTTCTCCTGCCCGCCCTCCGCCATCCCCCCTTTCTGTGGAGGCCGATCAGTCAGTGCTGCTGTGTTCTCGTGTATACCTCCCTTCCGCCAGGTGGTTGGCTCTACACCATGCGTCGCACCCTCCCCTTCTCCTGCCCGCCCTCCGCCATCCCTCCATTCGTCGAGGTAGATCTTTCAGCGCTGGATGTGGGCCACAAGATCACCCTTGCTGACGTGGCAAGGCAGGTGGATCCACGGCTCAGATTGCTCCTGGCAGATGTGTCTCATCCCGTCTGCAAGATAGCTGGCAGCCGGTCTTTGGCTAAGGAGGCAACGCCAGCTTAACCCATCATACACTTTATACTAAACAATCAACAAGGAGCCCTGCACTTGTTGCATACCCGTATATAGTTTTGAGCTTGTGTCTTACCTTGTCTGCAAGATAGCTGGCAGGAGCAGGTCATTGGCCAAGGAGGCAACGCCAGCTTAACCCATCATACATTCTATGCTAAACAATCAACTAGGAGCCCCGCACTTGTTGTTGCACATAGCTTTGAGCTTGTGTCTCACCTTGTCTGCAAGATAGCTGGCAGCACGTCATTGGCCAAGGAAGCAACGCCCGCGTAACACACCATACATGCTATGAACAAAAAACTACAGTGGGAATTCAGTGCTTGCCGCATAGAGCAATGAGCATGCCAGACCAGAATGATCTTGCATAGAAGATGTTAGATTTATCATTCTGGAGTGTACTGTAGTATGTGGTTTCATTAGTCTCTGCGCGAGCAGCCCGTGCTGGCCCAGCAAAATTTCGTTAAGAAAGCCGATGAGTGCGAGCCACACAATGGATGCGTACTCTAAAACTCTCTCTTTCTCTACTCAAATCGCATCTATCACAAGAGCGACTCCTGATTCGCTATAAGCACAAGCAACCCCTGCTGCCCCAGCAGGATCTCGTTCAGGAAGCTGATGAGTGCCAGCCACACGATGGGGGCGATATCGACCCCCCCGATGGGCTGGATGATGGCTCTGGTGATGCGGAGAATGGGCTCCGTGGGTGCATAGGCGATTACGAATGGGAACTCCGACACTGGGAGCTGGAGGGTGGGGAGAAGGGAGCGAAAGCACAGAAGAAAACGGGGAGGGGAAGGTGGGGGGGAAGAGGTGCGGGAGAGGGGAGGGAAGGGGGATGGAGGGACAGGAATCGCACAGACAGCAGGTATGTCAACCCCCCCAATGGACTGGATGATGGCTCTGGTGATGCGCAGAATGGGCTCCATAGGTGCATAGGCGATTATGAATGGGAACTCCGACATTGGGAGCTGGGAGGAAGAAGAAAAGGGGAGGGAAAGCAGAGAAAAAATCGGGGGAGGGATGCGGGAGTTGGGGTGGGGACGGAAGGAAAGGGGGGGGGGATAGGAGGGAGGGAAGGGAATGGCGAGGGCTAGAAAGGTGGTTGAAGGGCAAGAAAGTTGGAGGGAGGGGGGAGCCATGGAAGGGGGAAGGGGAAGGGGAGAGACGGGAGATTGATCGCACAGGTAGAGAACGTGGGTTAAATGCTGACCCTCCAAACCCCCCCAATGGGCTGGATGAGGAGTGTGGTGAGGAGTGTGATGAGGAGTGTGGTGAGGAGTGTGGTGAGGAGTGTGGTGAGGAGTGTGGTGAGGCGCAGGATATAGGATGAGAATTTGGTGGGTGTGTTTCTTTCTAGAAAATCCTGCTTGCTCGGTGCATGAGCTAATGAGGGGGAACAAAACAATGGGAGATGGAGACGAAGCAAGAGGGGAAGGGGGGACCGGGGTGGTGGGGGGGGTGTGGGGGAGATGTTGAAAAGAAGAGTTAGGGAAGAGAAGGAGACGAGAGAGGGAAGAGCGGGGGGGGATGGGGTAAAGAGAGAGGGGAGGGAGGTTGAAGAGACGGGGGGAGAAGGTGAAGACAGAGGGAAGAGAGCCCTGGTATGGCTCTTAGCGACTGGGAAGAGAGCCCTGGTATGGCTCTTAGCGACTGGGAAGAGAGCCCTGGTATGGCTCTTAGCGACTGGGAAGAGAGCCCTGGTATGGCTCTTAGCGACTGGGAAGAGAGCCCTGGTATGGCTCTTAGCGACTGGGAAGAGAGCCCTGGTATGGCTCTTAGCGACTGGGAAGAGAGCCCTGGTATGGCTCTTAGCGACTGGGAAGAGAGCCCTGGTATGGCTCTTAGCGACTGGGAAGAGAGCCCTGGTATGGCTCTTAGCGACTGGGAAGAGAGCCCTGGTATGGCTCTTAGCGACTGGGAAGAGAGCCCTGGTATGGCTCTTAGGGACTGGGAAGAGAGCCCTGGTATGGCTCTTAGCGACTGGGAAGAGAGCCCTGGTATGGCTCTTAGCGACTGGGAAGAGAGCCCTGGTATGGCTCTTGGCGACTTTTGAGGCACCTCAAAAGTCGCCCTGGTAGGCTCTTCGTGTTGCATCGAATTGCTTCTAGCAAAACCCTTGGGCTTGCTTGTAATTTCTCAAGCCGTTCTTTCAACTCGTTTATGACGATTTTGATGGTCCCAATCAGCGTTGGGCGCAGGGACAATAGAGGGGAGAGAAAGAGGGGAGAGAGGGGGAGGAGAGGGGGAATAGAGGGGGAAGAGAGGAGGGAGAGAGGGGGACGAGAGGGGAAAGAGAGGGCGAGAGGAGGGGGAAGAGAGGGTTTACAGGTATCTGGGAGGGAAGGGGGGGAGAGTGTGACGGAAGGGAGTGGGGAAGGAGTGGGATAGAATGGGGTGATCGGAGAAAATGAGGTGCCGGATAGGTTTTATTGGTGCGAGCTGGTTTTTTGAAAAACCAGTTCTATTGGTGCATTGGTAAACCCTGAATTCAGTCACACCTACCTGAAGATACAACGACATGACGATGAATAACAACCCTCGCTCACATGGTCATTTGCATACAGTCACACCTACTGTGACACCACCCGCTCCTTACAATCACACCTACCGTGACATCATCCCTTCCTTACAGCCACACCTACCGTAACGTCATCCCTTCCTTACAGTCACACCCACCTGGGGATACCACGACATGACGATGCGGAGTATGAAGAGGAAGTTAAGCGCCGCGAAAAGCGGGCCCAATACGGCACCCACTGCTGACGCCGCATCCGGCGAAATCTCCGCAATCACCGCCGAGCTTTGCGCTACCGACGCAAAGCCCTCGAGTGACACCGCAGACGCCGTCGGCGCAAGGAAAAGAGAAGCAGAAAAAGCGGCGGCAGTCGCGGCGGTGATTATCGAGAGGGATTTGGACGGCGCTTGCTGGTTATCGGCTTCGCTCGCGACGTCACGATGCCGTTGGATCAGTGATCGGACGGTCAGCGATTTGAATGACAGCCCTCGACGTCGCGACGGCGAGGAGGGGGTAACAGCTGCCGAACGATTCGCGAATAACGGAACCCGTAGAAGCGGACGTTGAACGGTCGACTGTCGAGTCGACTCAAAAGCTGGCTGAACGGTAGAGGGGATCGCCGTGCAATAATGCGCGGTCGAAAGCACACGAGCTGCAGACGCCATCTCTTAAAAAGGTATAAATTTTTAAACCTAGGCGCGTATGGCCTGGCGACCACGGTCTGTGCGGCGGCTAGCAAGGGTACCCTCCTATTCGCTGTCACGCTTCGTGGAGATTAATATTTGAAAAGCAGGAAGCATCTCGCTTTTGTTTTGATGTGTTGGGCTGTCCGTAAGGTCGGGTGGTCAAGCGTGGTGCGAATGGTGCAACGCAAAGTATGACACATATCCGCAGGGCAGTTCAAATCGAGGGTCCGCGACATTCCCGAGATTGCGAAAACAGAATTGCGAGGAGGTTCGCTCTCGGCCGGCCCCAACCAATTTCTAGTCACAATGAGTTACATTAGTACCATGTTTACCTTCGCAACTAGTCACGCCTTTTCTCATCCCCAACCAATAGGCGAGCAGCATACAAATTATTTTCTAGTGCTGTACTGCGTCCTGCTGGTCACTTCCTTAGGCCCACCTCGCGGTGCGACAAGAAAAAGAAACGTCCGCGCGCACTTTCCGGGCGAAGGCGCGCAAATTCCAAAATCCGTCCTCTTCCGCCAAGTGTGCGCCGCAATGCTCGCCCTCGTTAGTGCCGCCAGTGTAATGCGCCGCAGATCTGCCGTCTTCCTTGCGCCGACTGCCTCTCAGCCCGCGCCCTCGCTTGTGACTGTGAATCTCTACTTGCCGCTGTCGGATCGTCGTTTGACGCGCCTCAAAAATCTTATCCATCTCGTCCACTCCTTGTGTGCCTCTCTACTTGCCGCTGTCTGATCTTCGTCGTCATCCCTTGCTTCTCCCGCGCGGTTCCATGCGCTTTCGCGCTCATTTCCATTTGCAACGTCTCAAAAACCCGCAGGCTCGCGCTCACATGTGCCAATCTCGGTCGTAATCCCTCCCGCCCTATTCGCAGTGAGTTCTCTCCGAATCGCGTCAAAAGGCCTCACACGTCGTTGTTGTGCCGTTTCTCCGTGAGACTTACTTCAATAGTCGCGAGCGTGTGCAATCGTCTCATGTGGTACGTGGCAGGAAGGCGGCGCGGAATTCGATCCGAGCATAGCAGACAGTCCCAAGGCTGGAGTGGAGTGGCACTCATAATTAGCCCAGTGCATGCAAACCGTTTGCTGCTGTGGTACGTGACAGGAAGGCGGCGCGGGGTTCGATCCGAGCAGAGCAGACATTCTTGAGGCCGGCCTGTGACTCAACCCCGCGCTCTTCGGTCACATACACACACCTTCCTATCCTCTCCCACGCACCCACCCCATCCCGTTTCGCCCACCCCTCCAATGCGTCCCTGCCATCCGTCCCGTTTCGTCCCTACTCTTCCACCCTCCCTCACCTTTCCACCCCAACTTCTCCGCAACCCCTCTCGCCGTAAACCCCTTTCAACCCCTCTGAAACCCTCATGACCACTTATTGGCAGTGCAGCACGAGTGGAGCATCAGGTGCGGCAGCATTTGGCTCCAATGCTGCGGAAGACCACATTTGCTGATCCTCAGGTGCTCCCTCCCCTCACTGCTAACTCCTTCCCTCGAACCCTCTCAGTCATTCTCAACCGCTCATGACCACTTATTGGCAGCAGCAGCAGCATTTGGCTCCAATGCTGCAGAAGAACACATATGCTGGTCCTCGGGTGCTCCCTCCCCCAACAGCACCACTAGCAGCAGCACCACTAGCTCCTCACCCTCCTCACCCTCCTCACCCTCCCCACTCTCCCCACCCTCCCCATTCACCCATCCACTCGCCCCATGTCAGAGCCACTCTCCATGTGGTCTGCTCCAATCTCCACTTCTCGCCAAGCTTCGAATCTTGAGGCGCCTCAAAGCCACACCTTCCCCACTCCTGTTCACCCGCCTCACCTTTTCCCACTCCCATTCACCCACCCACTCGCCCCACGTCAAAGCCACTCTCCACGTGGGCTGCTCCAATCTCAACTTCTCTCCAAATTTCGCCGCCCATTTGAATCCACCATCCGCCATGGCCTTGCCACGTGGAGCCTCTCCATTGGTGACTCCAATACCATAACGTCTGTAACCACCTCCTCAGATACCACCCCCCCAGATACCACCTCCCCGGATACCACCTCCCTGGATACCACCTCCCTGGATACCACCTCCCTGGATACCACCTCCCTGGATACCACCTCCCCAGATACCACCTCCCTCAGCAGCTTTGCCACTCCCTGTAAGCATGGCTCAATCCACACCATCAGCACGGCCACACCATCGGCACGGCCACACCATCGGCACGTGCACACCATCGGCACGTGCACACCATCAGCACGTGCACACGATTAGCACGGCCACACCATTGCAGCGCCTCATTCCCAATCACCAATTAACCATAGCTCACACCACCAATCACCCATCCTCCCGCCAGCAGTCCACAAACGCGCTTGCTGCACCCCCCATACTACCACCCTTTTTAGCCGCCACTTTATTTCGTCCGTTCTGTGACCTCCCCCCTTGTCCCTTTCCATCCCATCTGTCAGCGGCACTTGCTTGCACCCGTCTTAACCTCACTTCTTAACCACCATCGTATTTCCGTCCTTTTCTTCACCCCCACACTCTACCCCCCCTGTCTCAAACACCCAGCAGCCGCAGGGGCAAGTACACTACGTCGACCGGAATCAAGGAATGTGACAATCGACCAGATGCTCTGCATCACGTGCATTTGATGGCAGATTATATTATGTAAAGACATCGTTGAACGATTTGGAATTCACTCATCTTGGAAAATACAAATGTTGGTATAGAATGTTACTGGTATGAATGGAGTGAAAGTGGGGTGGAATCTAGCTAGGCGATAATCTGGAGCTAAAAGAGGTTCAGGAGGGTGGAGAAAAGTGTGGGGTCTGGGAAAAATTGTAGGTCAATTCAGTCTAAACTATTGGCTAAAATGGTCACGAACTGGAGTAACAATCTATTGGCTTTGAGGAGTTACAAAGGCTGCGATGGTAACTGTCGTCAGAACGATGACGTTTTCGTTGAAGCCGAAGCTTCTATCGGCCCCACAGCGAAGCAACCCGTAAATTTTCTGACAAGTGGCGGGAGGCCCAGCTCTACTGCCAGCCAAGTGACCAAACCCCAACACGTCTACCACTGTAGCAGTTGGTGCGTCCATCCGTTCCATAATTCCGTTCTCCTCTCTGAAGTGATCCCGCGTCCACCGTGGCACTGACTGACAGGGTGCATCATGCATGCCCTGGTGCCCCCCGACCCGACTTTGGATGCTAGGGCTCGTCCGGCTGGCTAGGGGCAAATCTGTTGACCCGCACATGCGAAGTGGCACGGACTTCACGTGGGGAGATGCTGATCGCATTTAATCCGATTCCCACATGGAGGATGTCGACCACTCGTATGCCTTCTCTCCAATCCGACCCGACCGTTCCAACCGTGAGGACGATTTGTGCTTGATAGCGATTCCGTTTGGTGAATGCCTCTCCTTGCATTCATTCATGCAGTGACCGGTGGAGTCGCGTGGTCGGAGGTTCGGTCGGCTAGGAAGAGAATCTGTATGGCCTGCTAAGGAAGTCTGTTTTTTTTTTTTGTACATCCTCCCGTTGAATCACTCGAAAAAAATAGAGCCGCATTTCCAGACTTTCTTGTTCCGACGCCTTTCCTTCCACCCAAATCGCTTTCGTACACACCTACACAGACTTTAAGAGTTCCGGGTAGAATCCACGCCGAACAACATTGTGTCCTTGATTTGCCCGTGTATTTGACATGCTACTTGCACGCTCCAGCGGGTGTGGTTATCGCTGTATACACAAGATGCCCAACCCCTGCACGCGAAATTGCCTCGCACGTTCCAGAAACCTTGCACACGAAGGTTTTTTCCCGGGCAGTTGCACCCACGTTACAAGCACGTCAACCAATACGAACCACAGAAACAGAAGAGACCGAAGTCAAACAGTCAACGGTGAGTTACAAAATTTTGCTATAAGCCCTTTTTGCCCGACGCGAATTGACGAAACCTCCACGAAATGCATGAATCACTTAAGCGCCCCCTTCACAAGGCAACCTTGGGTTAGTCAAACGGACATCGTGTGTACAAGGATATGCTGGCACTGAGCTGGCACTCTGGTTGTACAGTACATGATTGATGAGTGAGCTGAGCACACCGACCACAGCAGCTGGCACTCTGCTTGTTCACGATTTTGTAAAATTTTCGTGTTCGCCTAGGAACTTGTTACTGTAGTATGTTTTGTTTCTCTTCATTCCCACTCAGCAGAATGGAAGCAGCTCCTTCGAACTGACCAAGCAAATTGTTGTTCACACGGAGGGGCTGTTCGCCAGCACCAATATAAAAACGACGGGATAACGACGGGATCAGGAAGGTGGGTCTCGCCTTCCTGATCCCGTCAGTTAGAGTTCGTTAACCTCCGTCAGCCTGGTCAGCCCGTGAAAAAAGTGCCGAGCCTCACCTACCGTCCAAACCAACAAACAAAGTGGGCGTCTGGCGAACGCCCACTTTTGTCCACCAAATCTAACGCTTCGACGGCATATGGAAGCGGGGACGAAACTTCGTCCCCAGGCAAAACACCATCCCCTAGCCATGCCATCGCCATGCTGCGTTTTTCAAAGCACAGCGATGGCACAGCCGTCGCATTGCCGTTCAAAAGGGATCGAAGGGAAGGTGGGGATGGAGGTTCCCGACGCGGTTGAGAAATTTTTCAACCGCAGGCACAGAAGTTTCCTGAACGGCATTACGGCCAAACCTCGGAGGTGGGTTCCACCTCCGTTTCCATATGCGGTCGCGATGCCGGCGCCATCATTTTCGTTTCAAAATAGATTTGCAGGCGAACAGCACCGGAGTGTCGTGTCTGAACAGCGCAAAATTCTACACACTCTGGTCAGAGTACACACTCGTGTACTTCGGAAATGCTGGTTTCGGTGAGCACATGGGATTCGCCTCATGCAACGAACAGAATCCCGCGTCAACCAGCCCCACACAAACCACGTCACATCTGTTCACCCCTGCGATCATTGCCTTTAATGGCGATGTAACGCATGATC